AACCCCTTTTCCCCACCATCATTTCTCCCACTACTACCACCACCACCATCACCATCACCTCGTTTCTCAATTCCCTGGTAAATAACCCTAGACCGTAAGTTAATGTCGCTTCTGGATTGCAATCAACCATCAAGATATCTACAAACCAAATACCTGCCCTTTCAATTCCCATTTTAACTCCCTCTTTTTTTTCTTTTTTTTTTTTTTTGTTTACTGATCGAATTCTAATTTATGGGGTGTGATAAAGAGATGAAAAAAGAAACACTTTTTTTTTATTATTATTTTATGCGTTGGTCGTTTTCTCATGTAGAGGATTTACACATTTTAATCGGTATCTACTTATTTTTCCCACAAAAAAAATTTTCACACCATTTTTCAAGTCACAATTTTATGAATGGAGGGTTATTGCCCTACAATTTACTCAATAAATCAGAAAAAGAATTATATTTTAACATTATTTATTCATTAAAACTATTTTTTTAAAACTGTTTTTATTTTTATTATTATTATTATTATTGCTATTAAATAGCTCTTATTTATAATATAGGTATTTCAAATTTGGCGCCATTTTGCCCTCTACAGGGACGCAGTGGCAACTTTCTCAAGATTCTATAGCGTCCCTGTAGAGGGCAAAATGGCGCGAAATTTGAATTTTCTTTCGCCTTTCTAATCATTTTTTTATCAATAGGGAATGGAATTATATTACTATTATTTTATAAAGATAAATGTTTCTTATTTATTTTATGTTATATTTAATACATAATTATAATAATAATTAATAAATAATAATTTTGGTCAACAACAGAATAATAATAATAATAAAATAATATTATTATTACGAAATTATAATAATAATAATAATAATAATAATAATAATAATAATAATAATAATAATAAGAGTAGTAAAAATTTTATAGGTAATAAAATATTTGCCTAAAGGCCTTATCAAGAATTTTTATTTTATGCCTACAAAGATTTTATTATCGTCGATTGAAACATACTATATTTAGATACTCGAGTTTCAAATAAGGCGACGATTATAATTTCGATGATAAAATGTCATTGTACAAAGAAAGAATCAGTTTAAAATTAAATCATAATATACTTTCTCATACAAAAGATATAAAATTTTATGACACAAAGGAAATACTTAAGAAGCAAGAATATATATATATATACATATATAGTTTATTGCTTTTCTTTAAATCGTTATCGGTCGTGAATTTTTTTTTTTTATAAAAATTATGAAAAAAGATAAATTTTTCAAAATATATATTGAAAATATTATTTTTACAATATTTACAATTTTTAATTTTATTAAATTTTACCATGTGTAAAAATTTTTTTTTATGTTATTTTATAAAGTCAATTATTTAAAGAATATTAAAAATTTATTTTAAAAAATATTTTAAATTATTTCCTTCTTTATTTATGAAAATTACTGTTATTTTAAATATAATAATAATAATAATAATAATAATTTTAAATAATTAATTATTTGATAAGAGGATTTTCAAAATTTCTATGTAAAAAATAAAAAAGAGCTATTTGAACTATTTTGTGAATTTTTTAACAGTATTTTTAAATTATTTTATAATAATAGCTACACTATTATTAAATATATTTTCGAGAAAATTTTTATGTATTTTAAAATTTTAGGAAGAAAATTTTTTAAAGTATATGAATATCTTAATTAATAATGGATTAAATTTTGAAATTAATTTATAATATACATATATAGGTAATTTTCTAAATTTATTATTATAAATTTATTTTCAACTAAATATATACTTCATTTACTAGTCACAATAAATTAATGAAAATTACTTTCAGTATTGATTTGCTTTATTAATTCATTTTCCCTTCAATTTACTTCATTTGATCGCTTCTTCGTCTAAATTTTATAATTAATTAGTATTCTCTCAATTACTATATTAATTCTATATATATATATATATATATAATTACCAAAATTAATTTATTTTCCATTTAATTAAATTTCGTTATCATTATTAATTATAAATAAATAAATAAATATTAATATTAATTTAATTACTTAATACTATTAATACACATTTTCTATTCATTTTTTATTTCGTAAAAATAATTTTAATTTATTAATACTTATTAGGGTCATTTGGGGTAAATGGGGACAAAATCGCTATTTTTCACAAATCACGTAATTTTTTTCCGTAATATTTGCGGGTTTATATTTTTTTAAGTTGTTATTTACGTTCTCAGGATTATTTTTATGCAGCAGAAAAAAATTTAGATAAACTTTAAACGCATAAAACTGACTGTCCCCATTTACCCCAAAAATTTAGAAAATTTCATAAAATTTGGGGTAAATGTGGACAGCATAGTTTCTAAGAAAGTTTTAAGAAAAAAGTTTCCTAAAGTATATTACTGTATTAAGGGATGAAAAAATTTGAAAAAAATTTGTGGTAGATATATAATAGTTAAATCAATTAAATTTTTTTTATTTTTTTTTTAGTTCAGTATTTTGTCTCGCATTTGAAAAAAAACAGACTTAAAAATCATATACTAAATTTTTTTCTTATTCCTTATGACTCGCATAACAGAAATTCACTTAAATTTTTGATTTTTGTTAATTTGATTAATAATGACAAGCTGTCCCCCATTTACCTAAAAAAATTTGAAAACTCAGTGTAAATGAGAACAGCTTAAAATTATTTTTCAATTTTAATAATAATAATAATAATAATAATAATAAATATGAAAATAATAATGATAATAATAATAATCATAGTAATAATAATGATAACAATAATAATAAAATAGTGATAATAATACTAATGAGAGTCGAGTTTATTAATAATAAAACTTTTTAACAAAAGTTATGGATAATATTCAAGCTCCTTATATGCGTTTGGCTTAGTATAATAGGCTTAGGTCCTTAGGACATTCATAACTTAGAGATGCGAACATAATTCTCCAAAACAGCCCGCAAGTTCTCCAAGTAAGTTGTAATTCCCATTTCTCTGCCTCTCCCAGTAGTGCAGGTAGAGTGTGTGTAGTAGGGTCACTTGGATGCGCCCTATAGATCTTTGGAAAAGGGGCTGGCGAGTGATAGATAAGGGGGTGGTTTAGCCCTTGGTTGCTCTCTCGGCAACTTCGGTTCACCCCCCCAATAAATTATTCCAAGGAGCTGTTTTCTACCAAACATTGTTTTCCCTTTCCTTAGCCACAAAGAGTCATGGTTGAGAAAAGTCCATGGAGGAAGGCAAGAAGGGAGGGGGAGAGGATGAAAAGAGAGAGAGAGAGAGGGTTGGGTAATCTAATGTTACTTCCTTGATGCACGACTTGAGTTTACGAGTGATCTTCTCCTCCTTTCCATTTTCAGTTTCACGTTTCACTCAAGAAACAAGGGAAAAAAACAATGACAATTTATTGTATTGTCATTAATTAGAATTGTTTTTTTTTTAATTTTTTAATTGTTGTATAGTTGTTTTTTAATTTTATGATTTTTTTGTTTTAAATTTTGGGGCCATTTTTCCCTCTACAGGGACGCAGTGGAAACTTTTTCAACTTTAGTTCCATAGCGTCTCTGTAGAGGGCAAAATGGCGCTAAATTTAAATTTTCTTTAACTTTTTTTCGCCTTTCTAATTATTTTCAGATATACAATTTACTCAAGGAACTGGATAAAAAGTAAGAATAGTATTTTAATATTCTTTATTAATTACATTTATTTTTTTGTTTTTCACACCTGTTTTATTACTATTATTATATAATTTTTATTTATGTTTTTTGTATTTCAAATGTGGTGCCATTTTGCCCTCTAGACGCAATTGGAACTTTTAGTTTCCTTGGCGTCCCTACAGAGGGCAAAACAGCGCGAAATTTGAAATTTCCAAAAATTTCTTCTGTCTTTTTAATTATTTTTATACGTACAATTCACTAAAGTAGCTGGAAAAACGAAAAATAATTACAATTTAATCATATTTTTCCTTAATTGCAACTATTATTTTTTCAAACTTGTCGATTATTATTATAATTATTATTACTATTATTATTATTATTAAATAGCTCTTACTTATAATAATATATGTATTTAAAATTTGGCGCCATTTTGCCCTCTACAAAAACTCAATGAGAATTTTAAGTTTCCATGGCGTCCCTGTAGAGGGCAAAAAGGCGCCAAATTTGAATTCCCCAATAAACGATAAAGACGAAATAATTCAAAAACTAGGTCACGTGTATCTCGCTCTATAAATAATAACTTTGTAATCGAAATTGGCCCGCATTATTTTTCAAAACGAGTGCTTGACACATTTCAAGTGCAATGAAAGAGGACGACAAAAGAAAAAAAAAATTGAACCGTTTAGTAGCCAGATGGGCATACGTCAGGATCCAATCACGAGCGTTTGTTCAAGTTGTTTACGACACATTTGGGATGAGTATACGAAAGTAAGAGAGAGAGAGAGAAAGAGAGGCGAGAAATGTTTCCCCGACCAATGGGAAAAATCGTGAGAGGGTGTGTGCGCGCGGTTGAGGGGTTATTTGAAATGCGAAAGCACTCGAAAGTATCACTTGTTTTTTAAACCTGTTTTCAAGTGAAGTGCAGACATTGGAGGATGAGGGTTGTCGCGAAGGACCCTTAGTTACCCTACGGGGGCTCTGACACCCTCGACTAAAAAAAAAAAGAAGAGAATGTAAAAAAAAGTCCTTCATCGACTCGTGGGGGGTCAACACCTCCATTTCTTTACGTTAATCCCTTGACACTTCACTGCTCTGGATTTTGCATTTTTTGTTTCTTCTCATCCGCAAAATATTAAAACAAAGTATTTAATGAAATTTAAAATAATTACATTTTTAAAATTAATATTTTTTTAATTAATTTTTATTTTATTTTTCTATTCCATTTTGTGGAATTTCCATAGCGTCACTGTAGAGGGCAAAGAAGCGCCAAATTTAAATTTTCTAATCAATAATTTAATATTTATTTTATTCGTTTATTTGAATGTATATATACATAATTTAGTAAACTCAAAATACATTTTTTTTCTACACAGTATTACTATCAGAAGATTCAGTTTTGTTATCTTAAATATCAAACAAATAATTATTTATAATTTGTGGCATAATTTAATTTAATATAATTGTTTCATTATTCCTTGAACATGGACGAGAAAATTCTTGTCCCACAGTATGCAACCATTTATTTGCCGCTGAAAAAATTATAAATTTGCGGCAATTTATACAATTCAAAATAACATTTTTTCTTTACTTTATTAAAAGTACTAAATCACAGGATAAATTTTAAAATTTCTTGTGATTAGATTTAAAAAAAATTAGTTAAAATCAAAATTTTGATAAAAAAAAAAAAACTTACCCCATTTAAAACCAGAAATTACGGGACAAGCCGAGTGCATAGTTGAATTATCTACTTTTCCATTTGGTTTAAGATTATACCAAAATGCCGCAGCTCCTTTCTTTGGTTTCAATGAAATATTTAATTCTGTAAAAACAGTATGGCCTCCTTTTTCAACGTCATTTAACTAAAAGAAGGTTTCTATTAGCTTTTTTTCTATTCAACTTGATAAAATACACCAATTTTGATAAAAAAAAAAGATGACTAAAAAAATCTATAAAAAATACGTACGTAAAATAAAACAGTAGCGATTCGATTTCCAATTCTATCATCAAAAAAAGTCGTATCTCCTTCCTAAAGTACATGTTTAGATTTTCTAATTTTATTTGAAAAGCAAACATAATTTATTAAACATACCCTCATAACAAAAGGATATCCCTAGGATATCCATATCAATGGTCGATATCCTAGAATGGTCCCCAAGATATCTTGGGATATCCATAGGATATCCCTAGGATATCCAAACCGCCGGTCTGTGGGATATCAACAGGACATCCATAGGATATCCACAGGATATCCCTGAGACATCCACAAAATATCTATTGGATATTATATCGCAGAATATCCATGGGATATCCTCAGGATGTCCGTGGGATATTCTTAGGATATTCACGGGATATTTAATATCTCAACATATATTTTTAAAGGTTAAAATTGTTAAGCTAATATAATGAATAATAAAAACAAAAATCTTATGAATATCCTGAAAATATCTGTGGGATATCCTGACGACATCTATAGGATATCCTGATGATATCTGTGGGATATCCTAACGACATCTATAGGATATCCTGATGATATCTGTGGGATATCCTGACGATATCTATGGGATATCCTGATGATATCTGTGGGATATCCTGACGATATCTATGGGATATCTGGAGGACATTTATGAAAGTCTATAGAGATATCCAGAAGATATCCTGTGGATGTCCTCAGATATCTATGGGATATCCAAAGGATATCCAAACCGCCGATTTTTTGGATATCTTTAAAAGATCCTTTTGATATCCATAGAACATCCCTAGGATATCTGCGGGATATTATCAATATATCCCAAGATATCTTGTGTTATTAGGGTAAAAATATTTATTTACAAAATCTTAAAAAAAAACTTACAAATTTTCTTAACAATAATTATAAATTTCTTTTATAACTTATTTAAAAACTTACCAATGCAAAATCATAATGTGGTGCGTAATGGCCTCCAATTTCATAATAAGACACTTGAAGCTGTTCTGCAGTGTCAATATTTAAATTTGTCATGTCTTTTATTCTATAGTTCAATGTTTTTACATATTCATGCTCAAAATCATATAACCATCCAATTTGTGTAACCCTATGACTTTCATCAACTTCACTTTTTTCTAAAAATCTTTTGACTTCAGCTTTATAAAGCTGTAAAATTAAATTTTTGAATTCGAAATAAAAAATAAATTAGAATTAATTAAATAAAAAAATTGGTGAAAAAAATTTCGTCAAATAAAAGTTAAAAATGTTAATTCAAGAAATAAAAAATCTTCTAAAAATAATTTATATAATTTTTTTTTTTTTTTTTAATAAAAATTCTAATCATTAATTTTTATGAACAATTATTATTAAATTTAAACTAAAAAATACCTTTGGTTTTGTTAAATTCATAAAAATATCAATTTCCTTGTCATAAATAACGTCATGAAACATTACAATTCTAGGTTCCAAATATAATTCTTCTTCTTTAAAAGGTGCAATTTTTAAAAATGGAACTCCCCTATTAACGTATCGACATTTTAATTGTTTTTGAATTTCCAATGGTTGTGAAATTTCCTCTTTGCACAAAAAATCACGTCTTTCTAATAGTGATAATTCTTTTAATTCTTTAATTTTATTTTCCGTAAGAATAATTTCCTAAAATATTATATTTTATTCATAACAAGTTATCAATTTATTAAAAAAAATTTTTATTTTTATAATTATTAATTTATTATACCTATGAAAATATATTAATATTAAAAAAAAAAATTCTGATATAAAAAAATTTTAATATTTAAAATAAAAATATAAATTTAAAAACTTATTAAATTTTATTTTCAAAAAAATTTAATTTTACATTAACTAATTGACCAATTTTTTCATCGACATTTTGTTTTTGAATTGAATTAGTTTGAACATATTCCTCTACATTTCCAAAACAATTTTTTATATTTACAGAAGCAAGTAAACCAATTAAAAAATAATAAAATTTTATTTTTAATTCAGTTTTCATTTTGTGTATGAAAATTTTTCCCCTCAACACCTGTAAGGCAATATTATTAGTTAATTAAATTAATTAATAATTTATTTAATATAAATTATTTTTAATCAATTAAAAATGTAATCACTTTTAATAGAAATTTTTTTTTAGTATACATTAATGATTTTTAAAAATTATTATCTTTAAAATATTCACAATTATTTTACTTACCTTATTTTAAGTGTAGTGTGAAAAGATAATTTTTTTCAACTGAATGAAAATAAGAAATATTTATTCGTGATATTAAAGTCATTCGATTATTTTCCTGTTTTTCTTCATTAAGTTAAATAATAAATAATAACTTTTTAATTTTAGGTAAATAACATTACGGTGCACATCTTGGCTTCCTGCCAGCGTGAAGAAGGGGCAAAATCGCGTCATATGAATGTCAGCAAATTTTCATATTTTCAAACTTTTAAACGTGAATTCAAAATAAACATTTAATTTTTCAAGATTAAATTAAATTTTTTAAAAATTACATATCGATTATTTTAATAATTAATATTTTTAATTAATTTTTATTTTCTTAATCCATTTTCTTCTATTATATATGTATATATTTTTTTTTCATAAATAAATAATTTTTCTACTTCGAATGTGGCGCTATTGGCGATTCAAACAGCTACACTAGCGCCACAGTTGAACTAATTTAGGCGTGACTCGCTCTAAAGCAGTCTCTGTTTTGACAGTTTATTTCAAATTATTTAATTATTCTGATATTTTTATTGCGTTTGTAAAATTATTTTTAAGCGTTAAATAAAAAAAAATAATTTAAAACACATGGAGTGCTACAGAGCGAGTCACGCCTAAATTAGTTCAACTGTGGCGCTAGTGTAGCTGTTTGAATCGCCAATTTTGACATCTACAGGGACGCGGTGATAATTTTGTGAAATTTCTATAGCGTCACTGTAGAGGGCAAAGAGGCGCGAAATTTAAATTTTCTAATCAATAATTTATTATTATTCATTGTAATTGTAAATAAATTTATCACACATATTAAAATTAAGAAAAGTGTTTAAAATTATTTTTTTTTTTTGATTATTTTTCATATTAAATTTTATTTTAAAAAAATTTTGAATATTGTTTTTATAATTATTGCGATTGAAAGAGATCCGAAGTTGTTTTGTTAAGAATAAAAGAGGAAGTAACGTTTCATAACTTATAATATCTCGTTCCTCGAAGTGGTTTTGCTATATGAGATTATTTATAGGGTGAAATTATCTTAATATTGTTTTACGAAGGACTGATGTATGCGATCGTTGAAACTGCAACTTTGAATTACAAGAAGTGTTCTCGGCTGCCGAGATTCGTTGAAGCAAAACATGTCTATATCTTTTACACCCAATCTTCGAATTCTCCCTTTACTTGAGAATGTTAACAAATATTTAGTTATTTTAATTTCAAATACAAATTCACATTACAATTTCAATACTCAATTAAGTCTTAATTAATATGCTGCAGTAAATATAGTGTTCATTATTTGTGAAAAATATTTATTTAGCTTATTCAGTTATTTAGAATAATGAATTAAATTACTTCTATTTGTGAATAATTTTTTTATTTTCAAGTAAATTTTTATTCGAAATCTATTTTTAATATAATTACTTAAATCACAGAATTTTACTAAAAAAAAAATTTATAAACATAAAGAGCTGATTTAATTTTTGGAGTAAAGCTTTGATAGCGTCCCTGTAGAGGGCAAAAAGTTGGGAAATTTAAATTTCGATAAGAAAAGAATTAAGGCTGATTCAATTTTTAGAATAAAATTTCGATAGCGTCCCTGTAGAGGGCAAAAAAGGCGGGAAATTTAAATTTCGATAAAAAAAGAATTAAAGAAGATTCAATTTTTGGCATAAAACTTCAGTAGCGTCCCTGTCAGGGGCAAAAAGGCAGGGAAATTTAAATTATAAAGAAAAAATTAAAACAAAACAAAGAATTAATAAAAATATTTTGAAAATTTTCTTCTAAAACAAATAAAAAATATTTTTTTATTATTTTTTTAGCCTTTTGAATAAAAAAAATTGCAATTTTTTTTTTGGAAAATTTATCGCTATCACAATCAGTTGAAATGTAGAACGCGTGTCAAATAATAAAATGGGATTTTATTTCATCTGTGTTGTGAGCGCACGTGCGTAAAAAAGGGCAATGTGATCATCGAGTTTGTTTGTATTTGCTTGTGTTTGTATTATGATAAAAGTTAAAGGCATATATTGTTCTGATAAGAAATATCTTCCCCTCCTAAGAATTGAGGCATGCATCCATCGAATGATAATATGTTAACTGTGTATAGGAAGTCATAATACTTTTTCTTGCGAATAAGAGATGATCGTTCCGATTTGTCACGTAATTTGTCGTTGAACACACATTCAACTACTTTTAGTGCCCATAAAACTCACGCATATGACTCACATCCTGCATTTCAAAATTGTACTATATCATTAAAAACAAATAATCAAATATTTCATTTATTTTTTTTAAATTTATTTTAGTATTATTTAATTTATTTTTTATTATTTACTTTTATTAAACATAATTTCTAATTTCTTGCATTTATAATGTGTAAATTTATTGATAAAATAAGGAAAAATTCAAATTTGCCGCGTTTTTCCTCTCTGGATGTTAGGAAACGAAAGTGAAAGTAATAGTACCAAAGCGTCCCTGCAGATGGCAGAAAGGCGCCAAATTTGAAATTGAATAAACGAAAAATGAGTTAAAAACAATTTTTTATAACTTTTAAACTAGAAATAATTAGGAAATAAATAAAAATTAATAAATTGCGATAATGAAAATTGAAAATGACACTTGATAAGCGAAATTATTATTATTATTTTTTTTTAAATGAGAGAAAAAAAAGATGGAAACATAAAATATTTTCAATAAAGTTTAAACAAGAGACACACAAGTTGAAATAAATTAGTAAATTAGCATTTTGAGTGTCCTCTCTTTACCCTGCGGTCGTAAATCATAAAACAAACTGGAAACTAGAAGTGCAATTAACTTTCATATATAGAAAATTTATGTTCATGACAAATATGAATCACAGACGGCTGAACTTTCGAATAATCGTTTTAAATTATCACAAGCGATAGTTAATATGCTCGCAAGTATTAATTAGTGAAAGCACCATATTTTTTAATTTCATTCAATGTACAAACAATAAATTTTGAAAACTGTCACTAAAACTATAATATATAATTGTAAATAAGATAATAAACATTATAACGAGAAATGCGAGCGTGAAAACAAAATTTCAAATAAATCATTATTTTATTTAATTTCTTTTTTATGTGTAAAACAAATTCTTTTTGAAATTGAAATAATTTTTTTTTATTAATTATATAAGTACAGCAATGTGTAATGTATTTAAATTAAATTTATAATAATATGGATATATAAAACAGATTTTTATCGAAAGCTTCCATAGCGTCCCTGTAGAGGGCAAAAAGGCGGCAAATTTAAATTTCTTTTTAATTATTATTATTTGTAGATTTATTTTTTTTTTTGAAAAAATAAATTTTTATATTTTATTAAAAAAAAAAAATAATAAAGTTTAAAAAAACTACTGAACTATAAAAAAAGATTTGAAACGTGAAATAAAGTAGAAAAATGATTACAAATCGTTATGTATATTATATTATTGTAAATTCAATGCGCCCTCTAGAATGACAAATTTTGAAATCGCGCGTTCACGTTGAAAGATAACGTCGTTCACGTTATCTCATGGCGCGTCTGCATTTACGCATACGCACACCAAATACCAATTTATATATATATATATATATATAAATTTTGGAGAGTTTAATACTAGGCGCGTGCAACAATGCGTGATTTGTGACGATTGTTCGGACGCAAAATGTCACATTGTTATAAAAGGCATCGATGCTCGATCGGTATATAGGCACATATAGAAGGAACGCGCGATAACGCAGAACGGCCGCCATTAAATAACCCCTCATTTTCCGCGTCGATGGCTCTCCCAATGGTCAAATTTATTTAGCGAAAGACCCGTAAATAAATTGCAAACGTCCGCGCTAATTTGTGTCGGTTTGTTTTTAACACGCAAACCCAGCGTTATCGTGTGAACAAAACAAAACAAAACAAAAAAAATTTCAAAACCCGATAACGTTCGCCCTTTAAGTGCATATGTATTTGAAATTCATGATCTATACATAAAAAAACAATTCAATTCACATGACTTTTGTCTCATATATTTTTTGACAAAATAAAATATTTTATACGTCAATTTAATTTGAACTCGAAATTATAAATATTCCAATTTTAGAATTGTATTCTAAATAAAAAAAAAACGCAGCAAAAGGTTTGATTCCATTTTTGGACAGAGGTTCGATAGCGTCCTTCTAGAGGGCAAAATGGTGGGAAATTTAAATTCCGATAAAGTAAAAAATTAGAAAAAATCAAATTTAATAATAATTTTATTCTAATTTTGAATCAACTTCTAGAGCAAAGCTTCAATAGCGTCCCTGTAGAGGGCAGAATGGCGGGAAATTTAAATTTCGATAATTTGAAAAATTAAAAAATCACATTAAATAATAATTTAACAATTATTATCATAATTTTAATTTAATTTTTTAATCGAAGCTTCAATAGCGTCCTTGTAGAGGGCAAAATGGTGGGAGATTTAAATGTAGGTAAATAAATTACAAAAATTAATAATTAAATTATTTCTATACTGATTGAATGAATTGAATTTTTGGACTAAAGCTTGTGTAGCGTCACAGTAGAAAGATAAATAGCGGGAAATTTAAATTTCGATAGAGTGAAAAATTAAAGAAATTAAATTAAATAATAATATAATTTTTAAATTATAATTTTGACTCAATTTAGAAACCAAAACTTTGATAGCGTTCCTGTAGAGGGCAAAATGGCGGGAAATATAAATTTCGATAATTTGAAAAATTGAAAAATCACATTAAATAATAATTTAACTATTATTATTACAATTTTAATTTATTTTTTAACCAAAGCTTCGATAGCGTCCCTATAGAGGGCAAAATGGCGGGAAATTTAAATTTAGATGCATAAATCCCAACAAATAATAATTAAATTACTATTATATTGATTCAATGGATTGAATTTTTGAACGAAAGCTTCGATAGCGTCACTGTAGAGGGAAAAATAGCGGGAAATTTAAATTTCAATCAAGTGAAAAATTCAAGAAATTAAATTAAATAATAATGTAATCTTTAAATTGTAATTATAATTATAATTTTGTTTTTTTGTTTATTCTTTAGCGTTTTATTGCGAACAAACGATCGTGAATTCTACGAA